GGGAAGGAGAGACAAAAGGAGAATAATCAGCACATTACAAATACACTGTTGTTTAACTAGTCTCCAACAGGAGTTAGGCAAAGGGAGACTGACCCTCTTGTGTTGTTCCTCTCCAGTTTGATTGGTCAATGAGAATTGGCACTTGGGTAACACACTGCAGCTCTGCTTTCTGGGCATCCACTTTTTCACCCATTTTTCCTCCCCATAAGAGACAGGGCAAGCTCAAGCGCCCCAGGCCTGATGTGAGTGAACTAGGTATCAGGCCTGGCTCTGCTCTTTCACAATCATTTGACCATTTCTCTTTCAGGACCTTATTCTTTTCACCTGCAGTTTGGGAATGCAGATCGCTGTTCCATGCATCGTGAGACCACGAACAACAATAGCTACTAGATATGGCACATTTACATAGTGCTTCACAGAAATTAACTCTTTTAATCCTCAACATTTTTGTACGATTATTAGCACCATTGTACACCTGAGCAAAATGAGGCACAAAGAGGTAAAGTCACTTGCTCAAGGCCACAGAGCTTATAAGTGGCAGAGCTGGAATTCATATCTGGACAGTCTGACTCCAGAGTCTTGCTTCTAACAATACATTATGCTAAAGATTTATTTATAAGCATCCAAAAACCAGTAGGTGCTTAGTAATAGTAGAGGTTGACAACACTGTGTTTGCACTAAGGAATTGGTGGTTTGGTCTTTAGAGTCGGTCACTCCAACCTCTGGATCTGGGACCTAACCATGGGCCCACCTCCAGGAGTACACACCCCTGCAGGTGTCAGCCAGGCAGTACCATATCCCTTACTCCACTCTGAGGGCTGTCTAATGCTTCCAGATAAATTTGGAGTCTCTAGCTGTCTTTCTCCCTGCCTGGCAGCTGCGGTGGGCAGTACAGAGCTACCGAAGGACATTTTCTTTTGTTTCAGCTTTGATGCTGGGGATTTCGCATATCATTATGTTCATGGCTAAGGACCTGCCATTATCTTCCCTGGGATTCTTATACAGTTTATGAATTTCCTAAAGGATTCAGCTCTCTGTCTGCTTCTGCTTTCAGGATAGTCTATCCCAAGCCACACTCTCCTTCCTCTGGGGCAGGGAGAGGGTGTCATCTTTTCCATTGTAATTTTTAAAATATTTACCTTGATAAGTGGATCTTTGAGAATCAGGAATCAACAAGGAACCTGCTTAAGTGTTTTTATATCTGCACGTGTGTGTGTGTTTGGGGCAGGGAGTGTGCACGAAGAACATGAAAAACAGCTTTTCGCAAAAATATTTAATATTTTAGTACTTTAGCTTTCAAATCCGAGGCTGATTACTAAAAGAGTGTTTCCTGGTTTACCATCTTTCATTAAGGACCACCCATAATAATATCATTTCCCCAGCTAACTCTGTTTAGTGGGTAAACACTTAACTGCTTAATTCATTATTGCTGAGCTTGAGACGGTAACAGATGCCTTTGGAATATAAGCCCTCACATCTAATAAGGCACTGGCTCACGATGCGCTTGGAATATGGTGGGGAGAGACGGCTGAAATTTATTTTGTGAATAAAGCAATAAGCCACTAAGCAAAGCTAATATGTTTCGGCCCAGGCAGAAAGACACGATCATTCAGTGTTTATGTAGCAACCCGTTCCTCAGTGGGACTGCAAGTTTCTACCATTAAAATTGTCAGAATTCTTCAGAGACCCACTGCATTAAGTCATTTAAAAATATCACAGACTTAAAACAATCTGAATTATTGGATTTTCTTGCTGCTCTCCAGTAAGCATGTTTGCTGTGGCAATTTCCTGCTCGGTCAAAGGTGCAGCCTATGTCAGTCAGGAAAGTAGAAAAGTTCCATGCAGAATTTTTATTCCGAAGCCCAGTAGTCCTATCAGCTGAAAAAAAAGTCAGACATAAATTTATTTTTCTCTTTTAACTTTTTCTTTTGACATAATATTAAATTCCCAGAAATGCTGCAAGGAAAGTACAAATTGCTGTGTACACATCATCTAGAGTCCTCAGGCGCAACATTTTGCAACATTTGCTGTATCATTCTAGTAGGTAGATATCAACAAATACATGCATATTATTTTTGCCTGAACTATTTGAGAGTTAGTTGCAGACATGATGAGGTCTGTTCCTTTACCCCTAAATATCTCACTCTGTTCTCTAAAAACAAGCCTCTTTTGTTATATAGCCACAATACAATAATCAAAACCAGGAAATTAACGTTGATACAATGCCATTATGCAATCTATTGACTTTATCCTAAATTTCTCATTGGCTCTAATTAATGCACTATACAGTAAAAGAAAATCCTGGGTCATATGTTTTAATTGGTTGTCAAGTCTCTTTTGCTTCTTTAATCTGGAATAGATCCTTCATCTTTCTATGTGTTTCATGTGACATCAACATTTTTAAAGAAAACAGGCTATTTTGTAGAATTCCCCCTTCACTTGGGTTTGTCTAATATTTCTTCACAATTAGATTCAGGTTATGTACTTTTGGCAGGAATATCACAGAAATGATGTTGTGTCCTTCTCAGTACATCATATTAGGAGGTACACAATGTCAATTTATTCCATGACTGCAAAGTCAGACATAAATTTAAAATTATCTTTCATCAAAACCTTGGTTTGTTAAAAATTGCTTTGAAGGGTTTCACACTCACTCCAGATTTTCTATTACAGGTCTTTAAAAAACAGACTCAAAGACAAGGAAACTGCAAGCTTTACAGATGCTCAGGAGAAAATGTAGCCATTTAAAAAAAATTGCAATGTGATAGTTATGAAATTTCCCTAAATTCATTTTGCAAAATGAGAGCTGTAATTTAAACGTGAAGTTATCGAGAGCTGAGATAAACCACACATCACGTGCAATTTAATCTGGCAAGGAAACAGGCCACTCGGAATTGCTAACTAGGCCTAATTCATTACATCTTGGTGAATGCTGTACTTTTGGTCTTACGAGTCTTTCAAATTGTGCATTAATATATTTACCCAGGCCTCATGGAAAATGTATGGGGATGGTAGCAGAAATACTATATCCTTGTTTAAATCACATTACATTTTTTAAACAGCTCAAGTGATTGCTCAGAAAGATCACACCTTCTTCTGAAGCATTTATGAAACAATTATTTACATTACATTAAAAACTTTAATTGCCTTGAAGCACGTGCTCCAAGACACAAATATTGGAAAATCATCAAAAATATCCATCATGATTCTCTCTCCTTTACAACTCTTCTAAACTTTATCTTTTTTACAACCTTCTGTATTGATCTATTGTCCCAGACCAAGAGTGATGTCAGAAGTCCAAGCTGGGTCATAAAAAGAGAATATAATTTCCATTTGCTGTCTATAAAAGCAAATCTTTTGACCAGAGAAAGAGGGAGGAAGCGTTCTTTTGGGGGGAGTAGGGAGGAGGGTGGGGTGGGATTTGGCAGGGGACTTGCCAGAGAGGGAGCGTGACCCCAGGGTCAAGAGTGGGGGTGGGATAAGTGGGTTAGTGATGGAGGGTTTTAGGGGGTCTGAGATCCTCCTGGGGGTGGGATGTTGGGAGGGGACTGGGAACCTCTGGCTTGCACAGAGGCAAAAAGAGGGAAAAATGTAAAGGAAGAAACATCCCTCATCCCTATTGTCCAAGGTCAGAAATTGCAGAAGAGGTAACTTCCCTCTAGCTGGGCTAAAGACTTTCTCCCAAAAGACAGTCAGGAGCCTCAGACAGGAGCCTCATACTGCAAAGGACCTGAGGTCCCCAGCTAGAAGGGCCCTCGGATAATAATGATGATAACAATAGCAGAAATCTCTGTAGTTGTTGAGAATCCAAAGACCCCATAGCAGGGCTACGGCCCCCTCAACAGATCATAACAATAAAAGCTAACCCATTCTACGCAAATAATAAAAGCCAACTCACTGAGGGGGCTAAAGTGCTCCAGAGATTTGGCTAAGGATCCCTTCCAATAATCATCGTAACAGTAAAAGGGCCTCCCATTCTAAAGTTATGAGGAGCCCTTATCTCTAGACCCCCAAATAATAACAGTAATAAGAATTCCTATTGCGAAGGATCTGAAGCCCGCCCCCATCCCCTCGCCCTGCAAGGAACCCTGATCTCTGGCTAAGGCGCCGCTCCCCAATAATAATCAAAACAATATAATGGCTTGGAAACTGCGCGCGGCAGTGGTGATATTTCCCACGACTCAGTGGCGCCCCCGGGCGGCTTCCACCGGCCCGCTGGCAGGCTCCCACACGCCCGCCGGCCGGCGAGTCTACGTGGCCCTACCTGCGAGCTGCAACCCTCCGATCCGAAGCTTAGCTGGCGGAGGAGCGGTGGCAGCTCGAGGCACGTGTTGTGTGTCCTCTGATTGCAAAAGAAAAAAAAAAAAATGCATCGCAAACTATTAACTTTTTTTTAAGTATGCAGTGCAGGGGGTGGGGGGGTCGACAGGTGCGAAGTGGGGGGTGTTGGCGTTCCGCTTGCCGGCCTCCCGCAGCCCCCCCTCCCAAACTTCCCTTTGCATTGATCAGCACGTTACGTCAGTATTGATAAGTTTGCAAAAAGCCAAAGTCAAGTGCAATCGCGCGGCACACCGACCCCGGACTTGGGGGGGAGATGCAGCGAGCGCTCCGCGGGCCCGGGAGCCGGCTGCAGGCAGGGCAGCGGCGGCGCCGTCGCCTCTCGAAGAGGCTGCCTCCCCCCCACCCTCCCCTCCCGCCCCATCCTCGGCCGCCTCCCCCGGGCGGGCGCCGAGCTCCCCGCCCGGCGCGCTCCGCCCGCGCCCTCCGGGGGTCGGGGGGGCGCACGACTCCCGGGGCCGGCGGCGGCGGCGGCGCGGCGGCGCCGAGGGGCAGCGGGTGGAAGGAGGCCGGGGGACGCCCAAGGGGCCCCGGGCGGCGGCGCTCAGGGCCCGGGCGGCCGGCGGCGGCCCCGGGGCTGGGGGGAGTCCAGCCCGGATATTGAGTGCAGCCATTGAGAAAAGCCAAACTCTTGTGTGTGTGCGTCTCGAATAGCCCCCAAGATGGCCGCCAATGTGGGATCGATGTTTCAATATTGGAAGCGATTTGATCTACGGCGACTCCAGGTTAGTGCGGGCAGCGCCGGCCGCGCGGCCGTGGGGAGCCCTAGGGCGCGCCCTGGGCGCATTGGGGAGGTCCCCGGGAGGGTGGGCGGGCGCCCCGGGGCGGCGGGCGGCGGCTGCTGGGGCTCGCTGGGGCTCGGCTGCCCGCTGCCCATCGATAGGTATTAGGAATTGATCTCGCCGCTGCTCTTTGTTCGGTTCAATCATCGATTAGCCGCCGCGACCATGGAGAAGCGCTAGTGAGCCCTCGGCCCGGGGAGCGAGCCGGCGGGAGAACGGCCGAGCGAGGCACGGGGAAAGCAGGGGCTGCGGTCCCGGGCAGGGGGCTGCCGGCGGGACCCCCGGCAGCCCCCCTTGCGCTGCACTTTGCGCGCCTCCCAACTTCGCGGCGCCCGGGGAGGCCGCGGAGCGCGCCGCGTGCCTGTCCGCGACCGGCTGGGGCTTGGGCGAGGGAGGGAGGGAGCTGGTGGGTAGGGAGGTGGAGGAGGAGGAGGAGAAGGAGAAGGGAGGAGGAGGAGGCTGCTGGGGTTGGCGTGGAGGCGGCTCCGCGCCCCGCCGGCCGCCGGCACCTCGGCCGCCGCCGCCTGCCTGGCTGCTCAGCCCGGACGCGCCGCCACCCAAGGGCCGTCGCTGCTGCCGCCCCAGCCGCAGCTGCCACCATCACCAGACTGGCCGCCTGCGCCGGCAGACCTCTCCTCGGGCCGGGTTCTCGGGGTTCGTCTTTGCTTCTTGCCTTTACCCCCATTCCACCCTCTTTTTAAGTCCAAATGGGGTGGGCGGTGGAGATGGGCCCGGGGCGCGCGCAAGTTTGCGCTGCCGCCTCCGGGGCCGTGGAGAGCCTGGAGCTGCGCAGAGCAGGTGACTCCCGGCTCTCGGGCCCATGGGAACTTTTCAATGGGAGATTCCCCTGCAGTCTTCTGCCTCCTGCTTTCCCTCCCGCCACTCCCCTCTTTTCTTCTTTCTCTCTTCTCTTTCCCTCTCTTTCCCCAGAGCTACTCCCTCCCAAACACCAGCGCTTTATCCTCCACTCCACCTTTCTCTGGAAGTCTGTATGTCTCTCCTAGATTTGGGGGTGTTCTGTGCTAATCCCCTAGGAGGTGGGACTGGGGGTGGAATCTCAGAGAACACCCGCGGAAGGTACTGCTCTAGGCTCTGTACTTTCTGGGGTGCCCCAGGACGCTCCTGCCAAGTCCTCCCAAACCCTGGAGTCTTGCAAAGTCTCGGCATGCAGTGGGAACAAGGGGCATGCAGTGGGAACAAGGGGCGGGGAAGTGTTGCTGAGAACCAGGCGATTAGAACATCCTGCCTTGGCCTTGACATTCGCAGAAGTGAGAGCATCAGTCTGGAGATAAAAAGGGACACACTTATTTCTTTTTTGAAAATCCGCCTGCAGATCTCCTTAAGTTTCTTCTGATAAGTGGTTCCTATACCCTCCTCCTCCTAGCCACTTCCCAGCCCCCTCCTTTCTAACCCCCCCACTCGTCCCCTCCCCCAGCCATTGAACTGGAGAGAAAATCGGGGCACTCAGGCATGCAGTTAATAACTGCAAGTGCCTTGCAATTCCAGGTCCTCTCTCGAGTTGGGGCTACAGTTTGGTGACCAGCTGAGGCGGGCCAGGCTGTGAGCTGTGCTTGCCCGTTTAAATGATGCTAAAGTGGCCTTTCTGGAAGAGTGGGGGGTGTGTGTGGGAGGGAGGGAGGGGGGAGAGAGAGAGAAATAGAGAAAGAGGGAGAGAGGGAGTTGGGCAGCCACATTGGGCTTGGCACGAAGGCCAATGGTAATCGTATTCCCTGCTAATGTTTGTAAATGAGACCGGGGCACGGCTGGGGGACAGCGTCTTTATTTATGATTGATGTTCTGTAACATAAGGAATGACAAGAACGTGGCAGACAAGAGGAGAGGAACCAGAAGGGCTGGCGAAGCCCTTTGCAGGGTCCTATTGTTATTCTGGGCTGGAGAAAATTTCCGCGTCGAGATTTACAGCGCTGGTATTTGCTCCCGGTTGGCCAGAATGTCAGTTAACACAATTTTCATTAGATAACTCGTTTTCAATCCACGGAGCTCCGGCTGCAGCCCGGAGGGGTGGCTAGAGCTGGGGCTGGGTGCTGAGGGGTGGGTGCGGCTCCCAGGGGGCCAATTTCTGAGCTGGGGGGAGGGGGTTTGAACCTCACTCGCTTCCTTCTCCAGCTCCTGGGTCTTTTGTGGAGCTGTTGAGGTCACCCAAATCTTGATTCCATTTGGACTCCATTTGGACTCCCACTGATCTAGGAACCCTTTGTTAGGGTTTTAGAAGATGCTGAGGTAGAAAAGCAAATTTGAACTGGAAATGATGAAGGTGGAGGGGTGGAGAGTCTTGTTCAGGTGAAGGGGAAATGGGACCAACACCCACCCCCACAGGAGGAGGGTGGTGGTGTTTATTAAGAAAATGGCTGGTGTGTCTGGCACAAAAGGAGCAGGCTCTCAGGGAAGGGGGTAAGCTCATTTACATGGATATTAAGTGTGGGGGGGTGTCCCTGAGGGAGTTTGAAAGGCTGCACACTTCTAGAGAGCAGAGAAATAAACGTGGCAGCATTAGCTGCATGCAAACATTGAGACCTTCACATCTGCCACGGTCCCCACCCTCAGCCTGAAGTGTTCAGTGGCTCCCCTGCCCGACAGGCCTGAGGCTTCAACCTTCATTCTCACTGATGGCATTTTTGTTGGAAACGGATTATGAGCCTAAGCACTTTTGCCCGGGATCATCTCTTGTGCATAATGCTAATGACTCCTACGCCACACTTTTATTTTCATTTTTTCCCCTTCCCACTTTCCTCTTATAGGGGAGATAACCAGAAAGGAAAACTTCTGCTGGCTTGTTCTGAGATCCTGGTAGGAGAGCCGGGCCCCCACCCCAGGCCCTGTGCAGGCTGACAGCTTTGAGCCCACTCGTCACGCGGCCCAGCTGCCTGTGAGTGTGAGGAGGTGTGTGGCTTCAATTCTTGGTTGTTCAGGTTCAGTGGTTTCTCGAAGCCTGGTTGCCGAGTGTTAAAGTGGCCGAGGCAGCAAAGGCGGCCTGTGTCCCCAGGCCAGACCATGCTGCTGACGCCACCCCAATCCCGGCAAGAAAGGTGACCTTGTACCAGCCCAGCATACAGCCCTCCGGAAGTATATATTTTTTCAAATATGGAAGCAGCCCAGTTATTCCTTCCAGCACCGTCTCTGAACACAGCAGGGCTGTTTTCCTAGGATGGAAGTCAGTCAGCGAGTCTTAATGACTTACGGCTGATGGTAAAGGTGCTCTGACATGTGGTACCCTATTCCAGGACCCCCGAAACTGCTTCCCCCTTTCTTTTCTCCTTTTTTTTTTCCTCTGCTGCTAGCAGTACCGGAAACAAGAAATAAAATTCCATCCCAAAGATAATGCTAGGCATATTTCATTTGGTTATAAGATTGCTTTATGGTGAACATTACTAATGCAGTATTTTTTTATGGCTTTTCTGTGTATAATCATTGTAACCAGATTCATACCTTTATGATTTTCTTTCTCTGCTTTACTTAGCCACTTTTTTTATGATGATCCAGGTCCAGTCTCCTGTGCTATCTTTTTTTTTTTTTTTCCTTTAAGAGAGCTGATCAAGCTGATGAGAGTTGACGGTGTCCAGTCGAAATGAGGGCTCCCGCTCCAAATTCACATCTGTGTTTCTTAGGAGGAAAGAGGTTGGCTGGAAGGACCAGATAGGACAAGTTTGGGAGGAAGAGGCAAATTCTGCTTAGGGTTTGAGTTTTCAGGGAGGAAGAGCAACAGGGAAAGCAAGAGAGGCTGGGCTTTTAAAAGGAGTCTAGAGGAACGTTTGGGAAGGTGCGCATGGGAGATGGTGCTTGATGGAATGTTTTTGCCTCCTCAAAGTTTAGAAAGAGCGTGGATGTGATTAAAATATTATAACCTTATGATATTCTGAAGTGCATAAATTTTACATATCAGCCACAGAGAGTTTAGACATCCATTAGAGCCTCTGACAGCTTGACTTATCTAAATGTGCTATCATTTAACAATGTGTCAAAATTCCTCTTTCTATAGATGACAGCAGTAAATAAGCTATCAGCCCTGTTGGCGGAATCCTAACTTTGGAAACTTTGCAGTAATAGCATTGCTGCCGGGGTGGGGAGCGTGAGCAGACTGGGCTTGCCATAGCCGGGGGCCATGAGATAGGTTTGCATTAGGCAAGGGCTGTGGGTGGGTCCGAGGGAGGAGGACGAGGAGAGGTGGGGGGCACAGGGGGTGAAGGGAGGTTTCTAATAGCAGCTCTGTAATAAGACCAAACAATTGGATGGCCCCCTGGACCCTTACAAATCCAACCAGTGGGGGAGCCCATTCTATCTTCCTCTCCCATTCGTTGGAACCCATATCCTGTGGGCCTCTTTTTGCAGAAGGAGCTAGAAACAGGTGTTAGAGAATTTATTTAAAGAACCCAGCAGTCTTTTCTGGGCATCCCAAAATTCTGATTTCTCATCTCGACAGAAATTGCTTCCCCAAGATGGGCTCTGTCTTTGCTAGAAGAAAAACAAGCTCTGTCTCATCTCTGACCACCTTTGCTATTGGAGATCTTGAAGTTTCTTTTATAAATACCTGGGTTCACTGTAGAAAATTGTGAAACCACAGACAAGCCTAAAGAAGTAAATAAGCATCTCAGTGGGTTATTTCAGATGAACATGGTGCTGTTTAGCTTTTCTAGTTGTGGTGGTGGTGGTTTCTCTTTTATTCCTTCCTTCCTTCCTTCCTTCCTTCCTTCCTCCCTCCCTCCCTCCCTCCCTCCCTCCCTCCCTTCCTTCCTTCTTTCCTTCCTTCCTCTTCTCCTCCCCCTTCTCCTCTCCTGTTAAAAAGAGGATTCTGTCTTTGGACTTGACATTGTATCATAATAACCTTTCTTCTGGTGAATGGGATAGTAAACATGAACACCTTGCCTGGTGCTGATTTTGGTCCTGGGTGTTGGTGGACATGGCTGTCCAGAGACTGGTTTTCTCTA